TTGTGATTGCTGTACTTGTGATTGCAGCTGACACCATGGAATTCAGTTTAAATCCTACTCCGAGCACCACTCACTTTATGCCCAATGAGAATAGTGACAATTCTCTCCCGTCCGATACTGTTCTACTTGGTGCATCATCGACAACCCTAGTCCATACAAGATATAAAAAGAAACAATTCCGTTCCGTTGCAGAATGTGTTATGTAACCTGGCATGCTCAGTGGAACAATGTGCAGAGGAATAAGCTTCTCACAATTCATACTATAATAAATAATAATAATCCTTATATTTGCTATAGAGCCTTTCGTGTCGAGAGGATGCTTCAAAGAGCTTTACATGATTTATTGTAAAGTGTAGTAACTGTGTATTTTGTAGGCGAACGTGAACACCAATTTGCGCACAGAAATGATCCACAAGCAGCCATGTGAAACACACCCTGGGAAAATGGCAATGAATGCAACACGCATATCCATCTATTCTTCAGATGACATTAAAGATTCCAGGACAGTGTTTGAAAGGAGAAGGAAGTTTTCCTGGCGTTCTGGCCAACAGTCCTTCTGATAAATTGACCATCCACCTCATGGCCATTTGTGGGACTGTTTGGGGTTGCAAAATGGCAGCCGTGTTTGTCTACAAAAACCTGAACTCGATGTTGATGACTGTAAAAGGCCTTGATGTGACAAAATGAATCAATTATTCTCTTCCTTTCTTCACAGTACGAACCTGATGGCAACATTTTGTACAACGGCTTGTTTTGCGACATCCTGCTCAGAATGAACCCCATATCCATAGAGAGAAGAGTTTACAAATGGCACATCCTCTTTGCTGAATGTTAGCCACATGCTGCAGTAATAAACACCGACTGTGGAAGTTAACTAATAGGAAAGCTTTTTTTTACTAATGATGTTATAGATCCCACTAATAAAATACTCATTTTATTTAAGAGTGTGGAGAAGCCCTGGAGAGGTATAAAATGAATGTTTATGCATAAAAATGCCAGACCATTGCCACTTAGGTATTCATTAATTCTTTGGCTTAGGGCTGGATCTACGCGTTTCAGAATGAGTGGGTTTTTGAATGACAGCAATATGTTATAAAGTATTGCTTTTCATTAGATGAATTTATTTTGGTTTGACGGTATTTGATGTGATCAGACATGCAGATGGACAGCAGATGCATTAACTTTGATTGCCCTTTGGATGTAAAATGAGCTAAATCTAAGGCACACACATCATTCTTCATCTAACATTAAGCTAAATTAAATTGGATGGGGGGACTGCGGTTCCTTCGGTCCTAAGGTTTCAGCTGCCCGGTCTGTAGCCACCTGCAACTGACATGTTCACTGACCGGCTCAATATCTTAAAGGGGTCATTTTGATCTGATGGATTGCCATTCATCGCAGTTCTTTACAATTCTGATCAAAGTGGGATTGTCTTTTAATGATCAATGTTATATCTCCAGTTACATTGCAGCGTAACCAATAGGCTTCTCATTACACTGAAATATTCACTCAACTTAATTTTTGCAGGTGATGTCAATAGCCATTAGTTAAAAACAATTAAGTGTTCAAGTTCTTGGGTTATCCTTTGTGCCTCAAGGTCTGGTCATGTTTGCATAGAGATCCCCTCAGTCCTCTATGAAAGCCATTGTGAGCGCAGTCTTCAGTATAAATCAGTCTTCCAGTTCTTAAATCTCTCTGCTGGTGCAACTTAGGCACAAATGTATTGTAACAATTTCAATACCCACAAATAATAAGTGCCACATGTCCTGGATATGAGGAGAGGACCAAGAGGAGCACAGGAGTGATTGACCATTGCAGCCCATTTGGCAAGTCCCAAAGAGAAGTTGACATCTGTGCTCAACTGTGTAAATTCAACTAAGCTCATGCCATGAGCAAGACCATATCTGTAGCCTAACATTCTTCTAGATTTGTTAAACCTTAAAAGTACAAATGAAATGTGCATTCATACAGAACACAAAGGAGGGAAACTTGGGAGTCTTACAATGCATTCAGATCAGAGTGGCAACATTGCAATGCTAACTTTGCAAAGCTTAATTTACTGATAATTATAGCAATACAGGTAACTTGTGCTTTCCCCCTATCTTCCCTTCCACCCACCCTCTTCCTCACTCCCTTCCCACACCTTCCTGTGGTCATGTAAACAGTCTCTCTGAAGTTTTACCCCTTGCAATTAGTGGCCACTGGTTTTATCAGTTCACTCTAATGATAATTTCACTGACTGACGGCCACCGCTATCAGCCATACCCATCACTTGTCTCAGCTGACCTTTTCGCTGACTCTTAAGTTCAGCAATCAAGAGAATTCCAGCCTGACGTCAGTCTCCAGAGATGTGATTACTCACATCCTGGTGCTGCTTTAGTCAAAAGAATATAAAACCTTCTCTTAAGCTGTCTGTCAGCCCATGGACTGTTGGACGAGGTTGAGCCACTTGTGGATGTCTTGTGGTGCAGTGGGCTATCAATGTGTATATCACATGCAATAGGACACAGGCTTGTGGCTCCTTGCCAATAGATCCCACACCAAGCACTCTTGATACCGCCGATACACTGACCGGAGGTTGGTAAGAAGCAAGGGGGAAAAAATTGGTTCAGTTGCTCTGAAATTCTCTTGGGGATTTCCTGGTGTCAGGTCAATGGAACAACTCGCATTCTTAGAGTGCCTCATCACGTTAAAACATTTCAAAGCACTTCTCACGTAATCAATCGTTAAGTCCAGTGACTGCTGTTGTTTTTTTGTAGGCAAAAGTGGCAGTCATTTCAGCCCACAAACAGCCACAAGGTGAATGGCCAATTAATGTGTTTGATTACAGAATGCAGATGGAGCCCTGGGATCAGGTCACCTGCCCCAGCCCATTTCTACTGGGGAACAATGCACGCCAGGGAGAGACGCTCCAGTTCAACATGGCACGAGGAAAACTAAATTAAATGAGGGAAGAACCAACAATAATAAAACAATCCTTCCTTTCAATAGGAAACATACGACAACGTCTGTCGCATCTCAGTCTCCTGGGAACAGAATGCACTTCATTGCTGATTGTGGGACACTGCTGTGCACAAATTGCTGATGCGCTTGCCTAGAAAATAAACAGTCACTACACTCGACAGTAAAAATCCCGTGAAGCGTTTTGAGAGAGATGTCTTGATGATGTAATAAGCAGCTATTTTAAGATGCATGGATACACTGTAATAATCCTTGTATTTGATATAGTATTACTATTATTATAATAAAAAAGGATAATTTATTCTCTGGGCGACAGAGATAAATTCCGAATTGATTTAAAAATTACACAGCAAACCGAGTAGCTATCCCAAAGACACTGAGAAATAAAAATGAAAGGCAAGAGAGAGAGATGGCTTATGACCAGTATGAAACCAAACCACACCCAATGATGGCATTGGACAAGTTCTGAGAAATTCCCCAGATTGATGTCACTAGCATACTGGGAACAAAGTTTCCATCTGTTCTCAACACTAAAGACGAGAAGAAGTTTCAGAAATCACCCCAACTTTTTAAATTTTTAAAAAAATTTTAAAAACTGAATTGTTTGAAAAATTCTTTAAATTTTTTTTAAAAAAAACATAAAGTGTTCACACGGGAAAAGAATATAAAGATCTAGAAGATGTTGAACAAAGGGCAGATAAAGGACGAAGTGGCATCTGAAGAATAGCTTTCAATGTTGTTGGCATCAAGATGTTTCTCTCAACACTGTATTTCTCCTCTCTCACACTGTAGCATTTAGAACGGATCTGGGAAAGTGATGTATTCCTCAGCCACTCTCAATGCATTGACAGCAGGATCAACAACTGACCGGTGCATCTCGCACACACGCAGCATTTTTCCCAAGTTAGATGATCCACCTTAGAGCCTGGAAACAGGTGAAACTTATTGAATTGGAGGCAAACCAGCTGCCCTAGCCGTAACAGAATCCTTTACTTTCTAGCTGTCAATCATGGCTTTGTCCTGCTCGAGCTCTCAGCCTTTCTCATTCCAATGCTTTCAAACATTGGATGACTCAGGATCACAATATTTATAAGTCCTTGCCTATCATGGCAAGGTCCTCACTCCCCCCTCCCCCACTGCCCAAGAGTTTCAATTGTGGGAGGATGGTCAGCTGTTTACTGTTTACGCAAGTGCCCTAGCGCGTGCTTTTAATATCCAGTGCACCAAATTAAACCCACTTGAACTCCCTTCCCCCCCACACATGGAGATACCAATCCCAGATGTACCAGGGCTCCCAGTGGGAACCCTTGCAGGGGGGTAAACACACAGATTAACAAGAGACTCCAGGTGCTAATAAATCGCCAAAACAACACAGACTTGATTTTACACAGCGACATTCTATCCCGCTTCAATGATAAAGAAAGATAAACAATGCAAGAACCTTAAGCCACGTATCAAAATAACCATCCATCTGGGATGTTTCATTTTTATATATAAAAAGTATGCTGCCACAAGTAAATATTTATCATCACCAGCAGCTCATCAAAATACATCAGATCCGTGATGTTCAGCTTCACGTGTACCCACCGAGCACTTACACAAGACTCTGATCGGAATTGGTTTGTCTGGGAATTGATAATTTAGGCCTGGGAATCCCTGCTTTGGGAAGGAGGGAGTTCAGATGTCTTCGAGTGAGGGGCATTTGATTTGGGGGAGCGTAAAGTTGACTTAGGGGAGTGTAAAATTGGCCTGGGAAGGTTCAGAGATCAGAAACCAGCTGATTTTACTTTTTGAACAAAAATCTATTTTCCTCCTTCTTCCTGAAATTCTATGCATTTTCCGTGTAGCAATAATAATAATAATCCCTCCTTTTGATATAGATCCTTATCACTTTGCTGAGATGCCTCAAAGATGCCTCACGAGATTTACCGTAAAATCGTGCGACTGCGTATTTTGTTGGTGAACGTACATATAGAAGGGGCATTGTTTTGTCTTCTGTCAGTGACAGAGCTCATATACATGCTTGCAACGAGACTTACCCAGTGTGCCTCGTAGTCATTGGCTCTCCACCTGCCTTCATGCTCCTCGTAGGATGGGATAGCCCCCTCTCGCCGGGCCTGGTGGTACTCCTTCCTCAGTTGGTGAATTCGGTCCAGGTTGGAGGGTGGGGTACTATAAAGAGAGGGCAAGGTTAAGTGATTCTCGGATTCTCCCATCCGTAATCAGTTAGTTAACTAGAAAAGGACATGGATAGCAGAATGAAATTTGGGAACACTTTATTTGCAAGGTAAAATGTGCAAACAGCTCCTCCATCTCCTCAGAGGCTGCCCACATCAATCTTTTCATAAGTAGAAACCACTTCAGTTTCCTTTCATTGACGGGGTCTAGTGTGTGGGTCGAGCAAGCCGCTGCTGTCTTTCCATTTCTTCACCAGATAGACAGATTGAGGGACCTGAATACTCAGGCAGGATCCGAGTGCCAGGTACCATTAGTAAATATAAAAAAACATGAAATTGCACCCTGGGGTAACTCCAGTTACAGCCACATACATCAGTCATGCACCAAGTGATCGAAAAATAAGGTGCAGTTATTAAACTGGTAAAGTGTATCCAACAAATCAGCACAAAAAGGGCCCAGACTTCTGAAGGTTAAAGCAAACATGAAACTAGAAGATTTTAAATCAATAAGAATCTATGAAGCATTCGTTGCTATCTTGCTTCCCGAACTGGGATCAGATCAAGATGAGATCTTTTGGCAATGGATAAAAACCAGGTTATTACAGGAACCAAAAAATTCTCTTGCCAGCCTAACAACATGCAACAGCAGCAGCTTGCAGTTATATAGTGCCCTTCATGCAGGATAGCGTCTCACAGCGCTGCACAGTGGCCGGGTTGGACACCGAGCAAGGGAGAAAGGGAGGTGACCATAGGAGCGGTCGAAGAGATAGGTTTCTTGATCTAACATGCAGAGAGTGAGAGAGAACAACAACTACTCGCTCCTCCACGGATCGTGGCATCATGTCGCTAATCAGGTCATTGCACTTCAAAGTGTTCTTTGGGACATTGTCCCTTTAAACGAACATTGTGGTGTGTGTGCAAGCAAAAAGCTTCAGTCAATGACTAAAATCCACTGCCATGAAATCACATCATTGTACAGAATTCGGGATCAAAGGAGTACATTTCAAAGGATAATCCCGATCTAAAAGCAACATTTTCCCCAATCATTTGTCATTTGTTTTTCTCTATGTTCAGTGCGCTGAATCCCTTTAATCCATCACCTTATTTCTGCTAAAGAGATGTCAGAAATCTAATCACCAACCCGGCACCTTCTTGGATAAAGAGTGTTTTTATTATTAATCCTTTGAAGTCTAGGATAGCATTTCAGCTGCATAAATAAAACAGTTCAAACCTTTTAATTTCATTCCCCTCTGAGTCCTAATCTATTTTCTCTATGTCTCGCTCTTGGTCTTGACAACTGAAGGGACCGAGAGAGAGGGAGGGAGAGAGAGAGAGCTTGCCCCCCCATGTCTCTGCCCATAACTTACTCAGTGGCTACAGAAAATTTGAATCATCAGAAAAAGCCATTCAGAGCACCCTATTTGCATTAACAGTCAAGAAGCTTAACTATATTTCTACAGCGGCAGGAGTCTTTTCAGTAACAGGAAATGAAAGTGTTGCGTTTGCAAGCAGGAGTAGGATGGACAGTCTGTTCTCCTTCTTCCACCCTCCTCAATAGCAAATGGCTCCCTCTCTACCCTTTGGCAGTGGGCAAGTTGTCTGGACTCACTCATTCCTCCTGTTTCTTTGTATGGAGATTAGAATTTACAGCCTGCTGCTCGATAAAAACTAACAAACGTTTTGTTCCAAACTCATATCAGTGAACAGCTATTATGGTATCAGTCTGGCTCAGTTAGTAGAACTCTTGTCACCAAATCAGACAGTTGAGTGTTCAAGGCCCACAGCAGGATTTTGAATGCTAGACTAACACTGCAGTACAGTGCTTGGGGTGTGCTGCATTGGTTGGAGGTGCTGTCCTTCAGATGAGAAGTTAAAACTGAGATCCCAACTGCCTGTTTACGTGCAAGTTAAAGATACCATAGTACTATTCAAAAAGAGAAGGGAGTTTCACGTGGCATCCTGGCCAACAATTCCCCAGATCAAATTGATTGTTCACTTCTTGACTGTTTGTGGGACACTGCTGTACACGTACCAAATGCACAACCACTACACTTCAGGGTAAAATCCCGGGAGGGACTTTGAGATGTCTCTGTGATGTAATAAGGTGCTAAATCAAATGCAAGCATTATGATGTTTGACCGGAGATTGTAAATTAGCCATCCCAGCAGTGAGGGGGGAAAAAAAAAGCAAACAATATCCATCTGCAATCTATCAAGGATATTTGCATTAACAGTAATACAAGCTAAGTGTATTTATGCAGTGACCTGCAGTCTCTCCATTAGTGACAATTCTTCTTCCCAAGGGGGCGAAACACTGCATAAGGTCTCGGATGGACATCTCACAATGTCCCACGAAAGTGGAAACTGCAGAGCGGAATAGAATTTAATAGATGATTAAAACAATTATATTTCATGATTTAATCTTGGAATAAATGATCTAGAATTCCTGCCTCTGATTGCCATCTGGTGACCCTGCCAAAAAGCATGCCCTTATAGGATGAGCACAGGATCTGGATTTACAGTACAAATGGCTTCACCAAATGACACCGTCTTGGCTCACAGGTAATGAAAGGGCAGTTAGTTAAAGGACGTCTGGGGTAAGTGGACCCAAACCCCGGCGGAGGGAGTTGATATCTTCAGGAGACGAGGGAAGGAAATGGACAAATAAAATCACTCACAGCACAAATAGGGACAGCTCCAAATTCAATCCCATCAAACACACCTGGGAGGCAAATCCAAAACATAAATAACAACTAAATGTAGTCGTCAAAATTATTAGACTGCAGACATCAAGAGGAAAATAAGATGAACACCACATAAAACAGCCATTACCTTCTACAGCAAATTGCATGAATAGTATAACCCTGATCACAGAATATCAAATGTAAAACATCTGTTTTATAGAATTTTAATAAAGGCATATTCATCACAGCGAGCAGAAGCAATTTTTTCAAATGCTCGGGACAGAAGGCATTTCTATCATTATTACTTGCAGCCAAACCATGTCACGCATTTTTAATTTACAATTGATGACCTCAAGCTAGCATGAGATTTTTTTTGTTCCTTCACAGAGAGTGTCTGTATGTTGATTATCAAAAAGCATTAGCGATCCATCTTTATTCTAGCGGCGGGCACACTAGGGAGACGCTGTATGATGAACAATCCATTTCACAGTCACTGTCCAGCAGAACTTTGCTAAACTGTTCTAAATAAACCAGAATTTCCCTCACAATTGCTCCCAGATGGTCCATCCTTAACGTTTGTAGGGGGTGGGGTGGGAGGAGTATGAGTGGGATCAGGAACGAAACAAGATATCTTAATGTAGACAAATAGGCAGAGGGGTATTACATACAGAATATGTATTTAGAGTGTGTGAGGTGATCCCTGCAGAGTCTAATTTAAATCCACAGATTCGCACTGGAACTGCACTTATATTATTGAGCTTCCTGCAAGGATTCAATTTCTTTCTCTTAGTTTTCCGTCTCTACCAGACCGGCTGTGATGACACTTCTTTACACCTGAGCTCCTGAAACGGGCTCTTCGTTACTTTGCCGGGGGCTCGCTCTCACCCACAATCAGAAAAGCCACTGATGGGGTATGTGCCTCATCTGCCCCCCTAACACTCCTCTCACCACAGTGACTCAGTCTCTCCTGCCCTAATCTTCCATCCCATCAGGATCCTTATCCGGATTCTCTTCCACCACCTGCAGCTTGATCCAGGATCAGATGCATCTTATTCCACCTTCTCCACTTTCAAACCATAACACAATATATCTGCTTTGTGAATATCACTTTTTAAAGACACCACCGTGGCCTAATAATACAACCCAGACTGCTTCTCCATTACTGATATTAGTACAGATTTCCTTTGTTTCTGGACTTTTTGTGCTATTTTTCTATTATGCTGGTAATTTTTTCTATGGTCAGCCCTACGCTGATGTTCTGGCAGATAAGTTCTCACATCGTATGATGGGATAAGGGAGGGATTCACAGCAAAACAAAATTCTGTGGTCTCACATAGTAATGAATGGTGCTTTGCCAGGACCGACATGATCCTGTGTGAAGTGAATGGTGAATAGCAGCTGTTTACTGTCACCAGTTAGTGTCGGGCCAGCACACATCGAAACTTAAAGCCCAGCAAGGAATCCCATATACATCTGCAATTCATTCTCTGTCAAGCAGTAAGAGAAATTCTTCAAGACAGTTCTTTAACTGTAGGCTGTTATAGAAATGCAAGTTGTCACACTCTAAGGAATATACGGTACATATTACTCTTTGATTGGTTGCATGTTGAAACTGGCATGTGATGGCACCTCACTGCACAGATTGGTGATGAATGGGCACAGGGGCTTATACAGGAGTTTTGAAAGACCTCTCTCGCACACAAAGCTTTAACTTAAGGAGTTTGTGTCAGTGTCTGAAAGGGGATGTGGTGTTTGGGGCTTGGTCTATAAATGAATAGAGGAATTGGTCTCAGTGCCGTTTGTGGGGCGTTTGCTGGCATATTAGATTAACTGCCTTGTTTATTACCTATATGAGAGACACTCCACTCCACAGCCACTTATTCCGTGAAAAGTATCGAAATATTGTGATGTGATAAGGCAGGTATAATCCACAGTAAATATTACTGTATTAAATATTGCAAGTACCTGGCTGAATAATTAATGAGTGATATTTATAAATGATACGGTTTAGCATTTGTGGCTTACAGGGGTTTTAAGCTATGTTTTGTCTTCGTTTTCTATAGGCACTATACTTAGCAGTGTGTGATCCAGGATTTTATTTGTACAGTTTTATTTCTACTTCACTTGCATGTGAAGACCAGGAGGAAATGCTCCATAATTGCTGTCGAGTTGAAATGGTGTTAGTGGTGGCGATGGTTGGAGCTGGGGGGAGATATTAACCCGACCATTCAAGGTCGGCAACACCTGTCTTATGTATGTATAAGACCGAAACAGCACCAGCGAAATACACATTCAATGGATCTACAGAAGCC